AATGAATTAATCTTAAGCTGTTTGATCTAATTGATCAGATAACTATTAATTGATTAGCTGACCTTTTTTTAAAGGAACTGACATTTCTCTTCTATCAAGAGGGCCCTTCCCTAACATGAAGGGATGATTTTTTTAAATGCTGAAAAGTAGCACATTTTAATAATTTATTGTGCCAGCTGTATTAAATTTTGGCTGAATAAACTGAAACTTGTGGATTTCTCACACATTATATGAAATATAACAAAACAGAAATCTAATAGGCTACTGAATGGTAAAAATGAAGAAACAAATAAAATATTTTAAACACTTAATTCACCATAAACAGAGATGTGAAATTCTTAATAATAATAATAATAATAACAACAATAATAATAATAATAATAATAATTTACACATACTCTTGCCTTGAATTGAAACAGAGTGCGTATCTTTCAGTATCAGTTAATCAAATGGAACAGGTTTTAATCTATGGTAAATGGACTGAACTTCTAACATGCTTTATCAAGTCCTGTCGGACTCCAAAGCAGTTTACACTGATGGTGGTAAGCTACATTGTAGCCACATCTGCTCTGGGGCAGACTGACAAGAGGCTAGGCTGCCATGCACCGGCGCCACCGAACCTTYTGACCACCACTAGGCGAGATGGATGAAGTGTTTTGCCCAAAGGGACAATGACTGAGACGGCTGACATGGGGGATCRAACTGGTTACAGGAAAACTCCCAAAACAACTCTGCCACAGATGCCCCAATTTAATAAAGCAGTATTCAACAATTAATCATAAGTTGATTGTTTTCATCCAGAATTAAAACATGATCTGATGTCCTGAGTTGATGCAGTTGCAGATAAAGAGGGCTGGAAACATTTTGGATGTCAGACATTCTTCTACAGCAGATCTTGGAAGGCGTGGCCTTGACAGATTTGTTTAGGACTTCTGGATGATGTGGGTGAAGACAGCCTGGCACTCTCACCCCAGCTGCTCATGAGAGCAACAGAATTTGTTGAATGGCTCTTTCCCAATATTTATGACACAGATAGAAATAAGTCCATCCCATCTTTCCACAATCACTTGACCGTTGTGATCGTTCACTTGGTGGAATTTTTCTTGTTGCAGTTATTTAGTCATTCTTACATGAATTTGGCTATTCTGTCTAGAAGCACCCCATCCTTCACTGTGTCGATGAAATTAATGTTGATCTCCTCTGCCTGTACGAAGTTTGCATWTCTCAGAATCACCCCAGTTTGCCATTGTAGGAAGTAATAGAAAAATATAATGCTACAAAGTATAATATGGTGTTGTGCAAGCAAAAATAATAATAAATAAAGTTCTGCTCTGTGTTGTTTACACATTTAAATACCACGGGCCAGTGGTCGCCGAAAGCGTTGGTCATCACTTAGTCACGTTATTCAAATCACTTAGTCAAATCAATCGAGAGATCCTTGCCTGAGACTACCTCCCTCGACAGCTCAGAAGGGCATCAGGGGTAGGCTCTCTACTAACCCATCTTGCTGCCTCCATGTGTCTTCGAAATYAGGGGTTCTTAACCTTTTTGACCTCGGGGCCCAATTTGTTAAGCATAAAGTGGTACGAGGCCCTGTCAGGCATTACCAGTGTATGGATCAAAATGATAATTATTCTAAATCTTGGTTTAATTTTTATTGTATTTACATAACTAAACTATCATAACTAACATAACTAAATTAAATACACTTACAGTTTAAAAGTAAAACTCCTGTCAAGTAATCACAAGACATGATTATGACAAATATTTGTTTATAATGTAACCTGCCCATAACAATTATTTGAACAAAAACAAAGGTCAGTCAACAGACCACTCAGGCTTATCAG